CTTGGGGGTCCTGAGGCTTCTAGGCCAGAGAGGATAAACTATATTATCCCTCTGGCAAGTTCTGAGTCCTCCCCAGGTTCACTTTACAAAAGGATAGTTTCAAAACACCCCCAAGGTGTGGTGGCATAATCATTCACCCAAACCACCTCAACCAAATCATTTTGAAATGGAGTCACCACCTGTATCCTGGATTTGATCATGATAAATTGATGATTACAGGTGAAGGCTGGAACATAAATGGAACTGTAAAAACTGAGTGCTGCCTGTTGGCTCATGATCTGTAGTTTGTAGCAAGAAATGGATTTATCCGTGCACATCACATCAGAGCAGTGGTTTAAGCTGTCACCTCACAACAAGAAGGTTGCAGGTTTGACTTCTGTGTGAAGCGTTTCTGCATGGAGTTTGCATGATCTCCCATACATGGGTGGGTTTTCTCTGGGTACTTCAGCCTCCAGTCACAGACAAAACACATGAATGTTACATTAACTGACAACTAAATTGTCACTATGTGTGAACATGAATGGTGTCCATTGGCCATGTACACCCTGGACAGGGTGTACATGACCTTTTGCACAATGGATGAAAAGAAAATGGATGCATGGATGATCTGAATCTCTCTGTCTCCATTTCTGAAGTCCAGCAGATCGAACTATAAACTTAAGGTTTGCTGCCAACGTGGAATGAAGCGAGTCGTGTTGGGTATGCTGTGGGCAGAAGTGGACCACAAAATAATCTGCACGGTCACAAATGCAGTTTGCAGGCACTGAACATGGAAATTGGCTGTGATTTATTTAAAAACTACCCATTCCCATTGTGGCCACACACTCTTGGTTACTTGGTCACTCTTGGTGAGACAGTAGAGGAAAATTTTCTCACAATTTTCCTGTAGTTTTGCGTTGCTGGTCAATTATCATCTAAAATAATTCAATATCTAATGTTTATATATTTTGTGAAGCCTGACTTTATTTTGTTTTTACAAATTTCTATGTGTGGACTCGTAAGAAAAAAAAAATCCAAATTAGTCTGGTACATTGTAATTTTTCAAGAATCTGCTTTTACATCTTTCTGTGGTGTTAGCTGTCTGGTTTTTGTTTTTGTCCACATATTGGAGATGTTTACTCAGGACTTTTGTGGTTGCTCCACGTTTCCACAGTGAGCACCTTTCACCTGTAACGCTTGGTGCCTAATCAGTGGTGTAATTAGAGTAAAACAGTTTTATGAGTGGGATGGGGGGATCCTTGTCACGGAGATCTGTGTTTATGATACGAGCCGCGGGTTTATGTTGGTGCGTGACAACCATGATGTCGCAGATTAAGAAAATCATTTTGTTTTATTACAATGCAAACAGATGTCACAGTCTTCTTCACGCTGCAGATGACAGTGATTTCCAAAGGATTAATTATTATTTATGCACTGCCATATTCGGTTGAAGTTTGAAGAGAGCGGCTGCTGTCACCTCCACACAACCAATTAGTCATGTTTAGGCAAATATGCTCAAAAAGAAGTTCAGGAAATTCGTGTTTTTATTTATGCTGTCGTTCTGATTTGCACTCCACCCAGGAAAACATGATTGAAGCGTTTGGATGAATTCTGAAAATAAATTAGAGTAAAATGAGGTTTTTCTTTTCTCTTTTTTTTTAATATACTTGTTTCCTAGCAACATCAAATCACTGTTTTTCCGGTGGTGAGTTTGTGTGAATGTGTGTGTGAGAGAGAGAGAGAGAGAGAGACAAAGGTTGAATGGATTATGACCATTGTTTGTTTAGTTTTTTCATATATGTAAATTTCAAATCAAATGTTTGTGGTTTGAATCTCTTGTATCTGATTTCTGATCACAAACACGTCGTCACCAGCTCAAAAAAGCAAAAGATCCCAGACAGTCTAGAAAAATCCTCGAGCCCACTGACAGAAGACAGGACAGATTTTTGGATACAAGTATAGCCGCGACGATTGAAGACAGATGTGGAGATAACCGTGGGGCTCGAAACAAAAGTTTTGCTATGAAATCCAGCTCGTGTAAATAAAAACTGAATTTTCACTCAGCAGAGTGGGCAAAATGAGATCTCAGAGAGTGCTAACTTGTTTTCAGACGGCAGACTTTTTAGATAAGAAAAACTATTTGGACTGGTTTGCTTTAGAGGAACTTAAAGAGGATAATTTTAGGTATCAAGCCTGAGACATTATGGTTTTAGGGGGAATTTGCTAAATGTTTTTTTGTGGAAATAATGATGAGTTGTTAAAATTATATCCACTGAGACTATAATCATTTGGATCAGACAGTCATAACTTTTCCCTGCAGTTTTTACCTCTATGTGTGTGATCTATACCAGTGGCAGAATATTTCACGAACCAGTGGACTCTATGAAAGTGATTATTAGAACATCTAGAACTCGTCATCTTTTATAGCCAACCCCATTCAAGATGGCCACCACAGCTAATCAACTACAGCTACACAGACATGGCAATAACTTAATAAGTTGTACAGATGTTGAGCCGTTTTGTTTTTTTGACTGAGCGTACTTCTTGTAGTGCTAACACACGTCACAATATCGCATGAGATCACGCATTTCGTCTTTGTATGGGAACATACAATGATGATAACACATGGCATTTTATTTATTTATTTAATTATTTTAAGGTCATTTACAAAATTTGACCAAATGGCCGTGCCTCTTATTCAGCATTCAAATTTCTACTTTTTTTTTCAGATAATTTCAACTTTTTTGTGTTAATTTTTGCTTCTTTAAGTCTAATTATGCACATTAGTGCTTTCACCAATTCCTTCTAGCTTTTAGCTACAATTTAGCTGGGTTTTTTTTTTTGTTTGCAAATTTCTGCCTTTTTTCAGACAATTTCCACTTTCTTGTGCTCATTTCTGCTTCATTAAGCCTAATGGGGCACAATTGTGCTCTCTCCACTTACTTCTGGTAATGTAAGCTTGTTGCTGACTTTTTAGCTGCTATTCAGCTGTTTTTTTTTATTTTTTTTGGTTTTATTTTTTATATTTCTGCCCTTTTCAGATAATTTCCACTTTTTGACACTCATTTCTGCTTCTTTCAGCATAAATGGGCAAATTTGTGGGTTTTTTCTGCTTTCTTCTGCTACTTTAAGCTTGTTCTAACTTTTCAGCTGCAGTTTTAGCGCTTATCAGCTAATTTCAGCTGTTTTCAGATAAATTCAAGATTTTTTTGTGGTAAATTCTACTACTTTCAGCCTATAATTTTTTATGCTCATTTGAGCTTTTTTCTGCTAGTTTAAACTTCTTCTGCCTTTTCAGCTATTCTTTGCTAATTTCAGCCTTTTTTTAAGCTAATTTCAGCTATTTTTTTGCAAATTCCTCAGCAATAAGCATTCACACTTAATTTTCGCAGGATGCAATTTCTGTAGTTTCAACTGGCATGCACTAAAGGCAGTGGATGCTTTGCATTTCTTCAAAGAATCCTCAGTTTTTTATTTTGTTTTAATCAAAACAGATCTTTTTTTCTTTTTAAGAAATTTAATGTGTATATACATTACATTTTTTATAATATATTACAAAATATCTGTCATTTCAGTGATTTAGTAAACATAATCCACCTCCCAACTTTGTGCTGGGCCTGATACCAGTGACAATCTGTCTAATTCTCCCAGTATGGTTGCCATTAGTTTCCATCAGTGCCTTATGGGTTTGCCATCCGCTCCCCCACCATGGTGAAAGTCAGTGGGTGCTGGGATGGGCTGCCATATGCCTGCTGTGAAGTGATGACGCTAATAAAGAAGCAAGTCTGAGCGGCTGTGGAGAGCGTTTCTGAACCATGTGTTTGAAAGATGAAGAAGACTAGAGCGTGGAGAGCCTGGACAGTGAGGATGAAGAGTTAAAAAAGCAAATGCACAGCCGGAGGGAGTCCGGCGGTTCTGCTACAGCTCTCAGGGCGGCCGCCTGCCACAGTCATTTCCTCACGCTGGAAGGAAGGCATCGCTTGAAAGATTTGGGACGAGGGGGGGAAATGGGGAGAGGATGATTTTGGTGGGAATTCCCAAGGTGTTCAGCCTTTCCCTGAATATGTCCATATCACCATGACAACAGGGGCCAGCAGGGGTTCAGGGATTCACTCACACCTGGAAATAAACAGAACAGTTCATTTGCATTTTAAACACAAACTAGTTCACGCAGAGAACAGACGGGTTGAGATCTGCTTTAATGTTTGGGACAAGATGGTGTTTTAGATCTGAGCTTAAAAAAAAAATCAGAACTGTGACAATGAAGTCCAGTTCAACATTACCTAAATACCGTATTTTCCGCCGTATAAGTCGCATCAGTCCAAAAATGTCTAATAAGATGGATAAAAACATAAATAAGTCGCTTTGCCGTATAAGTCACATCTATTATGCGTCACCGCTGACCACCTGGAAACGTGGGCTGGTGTGCCAAAAATCGATTGGCTGCCAAAATGGTAGCTGCAGGAGTGTACACAGGAGGACTTTAACAAGATTAACAATTAAAAACAATGATTTGTTTGCTCGAAATTATAGCAAAGTTGTGTCACAGTTGAACTTTTCCTTAATAAATGCACTTTAATGGTCAAATCAGCTGCATTTCTCCAGGGCGGCGCGGTGAAATGAAGCTGATTTGACGATTTCTCCAAGACTTCCGGAGTGAGATGAAGGTGGCTCTGTATGGCAAGCCAAGTGTCTCATTAATAGTCACTTTTACCTATTAATGAGACACTTGACTTGCCATATTGCTTGAGGACCCTTTAGTTGCTGTAAATGCAACGTTAAATATTTTTCATGTCAGAATGAATGAAATCGTCAGATCTCAGCCAAAAATCAGGCTATAAATAAATATAAATATGGGAAAATGTATAATAGTCGCTTCTGTGTATAAGTTGCAGTACTTGCAAATTTATGCAAAAAGGTGCAACTTATATGGCGAAAAATATGGTATATATACTGACATGTGCTCAATCTTACAAATTAAGATTGTTGTTTTGTTTTTTTCTGGTCCCTCATCTTGGCAGAGTTTCAGAAGAAAGCGTGGAGTTCTTTGAGCGTATGAACGCCATCCTGCAGAAACAGGAGAACATGATGCGTGCGGCCCAGGCTGAGGTAACCCTAACACAACTTCCACCTTTCCATCTGTTACACACTTGAAACTTGCACGGTTTGTGTAGCGGGCAGGCCTGAGAGCTGTCATTCAGCCCACCACTGTGACCATGGTGACGTCCGTAGACAGAAGGACTGGGTTAAACTGGGTGCCCGGAGGACTGGGAGCTCAGCTGTTACAAACTGCTGTCGATGGATATGTTGAGTCTTTGCTGCTACAGAGAGACATGATTGATGAGACACTTTATGGCTTTGAAGCCAAACTGCTTAATACTGGAACCATAAACTTACCAAAGTCTTGATTTAGGTCAAAACATATAAAACGTATGTATTCTTTATGATTAACTAAAATTTGAAGTTTTTTTTTTTTTTGGTTGGTTTTGTTATTGGAGTCTTAATTTGCAACAATTCTTGAGAGTTTTAATTTAGGTTTAATCATAAATCAGACGAGAGTTTTAAAAAAAAAGTTAGCGACTTAAAATAGTTTTGAATCTGAATCAGAAGGAAGCAGTTCTTAAACTGTTCTGTTTCTTTAATCAATTAGTTTTTGTCTTTTTGTTTTCCGGCTGCTCCTTTCTTCAGGGGTCGCCACAGCGAACTAACTCACACGAAGACTTGGCAATTGCTTTTACTCCAGATGCACTTCCTGATGCATGCACAGACCACTGAGCTACCACAGCCCTCTGTGTGGAGCAGAGAGCTGCCGAATAGGGCGAAGATGGTGGGGGTTAAGGGCCTTGCTCAAGGGCCCAGAGTGGAGCAAAGGAGGGTGGGGCAGATGTGAATGCTTCACCTTTTCCACCCACATTTTGATGTTGTTGGTCCAAGGGATCAAACCGGCAGCCTTCTGATCACATGCTCACCTTCTCTAACCTCTGCACCACCGCTCCCCCATATGTCAATTTAAGGCATTTACTGTTTCAGCTTGTTTGTTGTGATGTAATTTTGGTTTTAATTCTTAGGGGGAAAAAACTGGTTTGGTTAAACAAATCTGTAACGTAATTAGAGTTGCACCGATCTGATACCAATATCTGTATCGGTACCGATATCAAAAAACTTCTGGATCGGGTATCGTGACAATGTGATCGATCCATGACTGGGCAGATCTATTCACTCTAATTCTATGTTTTGTGCTCTGAGTGGCATCATGCGCTAGCGTACTGACTGAACAAATTAAAGCTGTGTTGTTTTTACATGTTTGACCAAGCTTGTGAAGCTCTTGGTGTGTTTAAATGTGCTGTTATGGTGCAGAGTTTTCAATAAATTTATAATTCAGTACATTTGTGTCTGCGTTTTAAAAAACAAATGTTTTAAGTTAATTCAGCACTGGGTTTGTAAGCTCAAACATCCAGGTAGACAGCAACAATGGCTAAATCATGTCATCTGGACCTGTTTCAGATTACATGATTTAGTCATTTTTGTTAATTCAGCACTGTTTTTCTGTATCGGATCGGTATCGAATTGGTATCGCCCGACACTAAACGCAGGTATCGGATCGGAAGTGGGAAAAAAGTGGATCGGTGCATTCCTAAACGGAGTAAACATCATTAGAGTATTTTGGGTTTTTTTTTTTCAAATAAATTTTCAAACAATTTAAAAAGCTTAAAATTCTTAAAACGTTTTGATAAGAACTTATATTTGAATTATTTATTAACCTTTATTTAACCAGGCAAATCCCACTGACATCACAGATCTCTTTTGCAAGGGAGGCCTGGGCCTGAAGGCAGCCTAACATGTATGTTTTTGGTCTGTGGGAGGAAACTGGAGTACCTGGAGAAAACCCACGCAAGCACGAGAAGAACATGCAAACTCCACACAGAAAGACCCCAGGTCCAACCGGGGATTGAACCCAGAACCTTCTTGCTGTGAGGCAACAGTGCTAACCACTGATCCATCATGCTGCCAATTATGCTAATAACATAACATATGCTAGTAATGAGCAGTGACAGTCTGTAAGAAGCCCTTCTCCTGGTCTAAGTACCATATGTCTTAACATTTCTAATTTTAATGCTCTGTCCACAGTAAACTACAAATAAAGTTGTAAAAAATTGAAGTTAAAACATTTTATCTTCAAAGTCAGGCTAAATTGCAGCAGGGCAGCTGTTTTATTATTATATATTTATTGTTTTATTTATCTGTTCATTCAAATTAGCAGTTTAAAATTCACTGCAGTCCTGAAAACCCGTGGAGGGGCTGTGTGTGACAAGATAAATGTTTCCATCAGCAGCAGCTTCATGCAAACAGAGCAGATAATGGTCCAGAAAATCCGAGCTGGAGTCCATGCTCATGACATTTACTGCGTCTCACTCCTGATTGCCCTCATTGTGCACGCTGGGCAACTATTGTAACCTTTGTGAAATAATTTCACTCCATGTAAGTGATACGTAACAATACCTAACTAGGACCTCGGCCTCGTGTGCAACACAACCTTTATTAAAGGCGGTTTTGGTGTGCTCTAAAGAGGTTTTGTCTCCTTACAGTGTCAAAGAGGGGCCTGCACGGTGCCGCCGCCACAGGAGCATGTGGACCAGGCCTTTATTGCTGAGAAAATCAGCAGAGCAGAGGTGTGTCAGCTTGATTGTGTCATCTCCGTTTCACCAAAGGGTTATGTTTCCAAAGTCACTTTAAGATTCGAAGCTTTTAGCTCTGCTTTTAATCTGCATCAAAGCCGAAAATAAAAAGACAAAAGCGTGCATGCGTTTGTTTTTGAAAAAGGTGGTTAATAAGTGGAATCTGTTTTCATGTAGCTGGATCTGCTTTATGAGGAAGCTGTGTACACGGTGGTCAACAGGGTCGGCGTGCCTCCTCCAGAACACGTGAAAAGTGATGATGAGCTGTTTGCGTACCTGCTGAAGGTATCTGCCTCCTCTACAGTGTAATGATCACGACCAGAAGAACAGACTGTATTTCTAGAGCCCCATTAAATCTCAGCCAGTAACACTGATGGTCGTCTCTCGGAGAGTGTTGTTTATTGTGTGGAGGCTGTTAAAATCTGAGCAGATGCTCTTGGCTCAAAACTGATTAAACATCAAAGCCCAGTCACACTGTGTACTGATATTCAGCTGTGATTATGCCATGCTCAGGATTGTAGCCTCTCGTTTGTCTGGAGTGGGAGGCTTTTCGTGTTGTTTTTAACAGCTCAGGTACAAGCAAGGACAGAGAGAACAAAAGACTTTATCAAGACATTTCAATGATGTTTTAAAGTGGGGTTTTTTCTGGTCTGAGGAGCTCATTTGTCTGGGTTTGTCTATTATCATTTGTTGTAACAATAGAAATAGTTATATTGAGGTTATTGATACAAGAATAATGTTTTTTTTTTTCACTATCCATCTTTCCAAGGTGTTTGACATGGGTGAGGAGGAGCATGACATTGTCCTTCAAAAAGTTCAAGAATCAAAGGTGAGACAAACTGTTCACATTTAGAATCCCACTCTGAATGTTCTTGGTGCTGTCAAAGAGGCGAAATCTCACAACGTATGCACTGAATGTCATTTTCACGTACAACCCCGATTCTGAAAAAGTTGGGATGTTGGCAAAATATATAAATATATAAATGTGTGTGTGGGAGGGGGTGTGTGTGCTTGTTTATGTTACTTTGTGAGAAACATTTTAAAACACAAACTACCGTATTTTCCAGTGTATAAGTCGCAGTGTTTTGCATAGATTTTTCAGTCCTGCGACTTATACGCCAAAGCGACTTATATACATTTTTTTTCCATATTTATAACACAATTTTTGACTGACACTTTAAGTAGCAAGTCCTCCCGTGTGCTCTCGCTTCTCTCAGCCGGTGCAGGTGGAGGAATGCCGGAGAACTAGCAACTCCGGCCGAGATGGATGGATGGATGGCACGATGGATGGCACGATGGATGGCACTACGTCATCCAAACAAATTGAAGCTGTTTTGACCGTTAAAGTGTATTTATTAAGGAAAAATTAAACTGAGACACAACTTTGCTATAATCCAGAGCAAACAAATAATGTTTTTTAAAATGTTAATCTTGTTAAGTTTCTAAGAATTTAGATGGACCTGTGATCAGAAAGTTGCAGGTTCAACTCCCGGTACCGTCAACATCAAAATGTGGGTGGAGAAGGTGAAACACCCTCATTCGCCCCACTCTGGGCCCCTGAGCAAGGCCCTTAACCTCCACCATTTGCTCCTTAAACAGGTCTTTCTTGCAAATGAGTTCTTGTGACTCAATGAAACCAACCTGTATAAATAAAGCGTAAATGGAAAAAAAAAAAAGAAATGGAAAAAAGAACTGTAAGAGCGAGTCCTCCCATGTGCGCTCACTTCACTCAGCTGGTGCAGGCGGAGGAACGCTGGAGAGCTAGCGGCTCCGGCCATGATGGATGGATGGATGGATGGATGGATGGATGGATGGATGGATGGATGGATGGATGGATGGATGACACTGTGCTGCCCTGGCGAAATTAAGCTGTTTTGACCATTAAATAAACGTGATAGGTCAGCGGTGATGCGTAATAAATGCAACTTATATGCTGAAGCGACTTATATGTTTTTTTTCCTCTTCATGATGCTTTTTTTGACTGATGTGACGTATACACTGGAAAATAGGGTACATTGTGAGGACCAACTGCTCTTTGTGGTTACCAAAGCCCAGACCCCATAAGGTTCAAGTGTCGTTGGTGGGTTAGGGGTCAGGTTTAGAACTAAGGTGTGAATTGAGGATGGGTTAGATTTAGGGTTATTGGTGTACTGGTAATGATTAGGTTTAGGGCACGGGTCAGGGTTAGGCTATAGAAATGAATGGAAATCAATGCTTAGTCCCCATAAAGATAGCAAGACAAACCTGTGGGGGAGTGCACATAAGTGCATGTGTTTAGGAAAGAAAATAGTGTAATTTTGAATTTAATGGCAGCAACACAGGGGCAACAAAGTCTGTAAAAGTAATTGAAACTAATAAATAATAGCTGGAAGAGCATTCTATCAGTAAGACTTTAAATATCTTACCTTTCACAGTTCATAATATCCCCAAAAGATTTAGAGAATCTGGAGAAATTTCTGTGCCACTATTGTCTGTATTGTAAGTCAGTAAGTCAGTTTGCAGATGAAATTGTGATCTGTGGTGAGAACAGGGAACAGGTGGAAGAGAACTTGGAGAGGTGGAGGTATGAACTTGAAAGAAGAGGAATGAAAGTTAATCATAGTAAGACAGAGTACATGTGTGTGAATGAGAGGGAGGCCGGTGAAACAGTGAGGCTACAAGGAGCAGAGGTCACAAAGGTGCAGGACTTAAAGTACTTGGGGTCCACTGTCCAGGACAATGGGGAGTGTGATAAAGAGGAGAAGAAGAGAGTCTAGGCAGGATGGAGTGGATGGAGAAAAGTTTCATGAGTGATTTGTGACAAAAGGGTGTCACCAAAGGTCTAAGGAAATGTTTACAAGACAGTGGTGAGACCAGCTATGTTGTCTGGTCTGGAGACAGAGACATGGACAAAAAGACAGGAGACAGAACTGGAAGTGGCAGAAATGAAGATGTCGAGGTTCTCCTTAGGAGTGACAAGGATGGATAAGATCAGGAATGAGATCATCAGAGGTACAGCACAGGTTGAACAACTGGGAGATAAAGTTAGAGACTGAGATGGTTTGGACACGTCCAGAGGAGAGACAGTGGGTATACTGGTAGAAGGATGTTAGAAATGCAGCTGCCAGGAAAAAGACAAAGAGGAATATATGGATGCAATTAGAGAGGACATGGAGGTAGTTGGAGTGAGGACAGAGGATGCAGAGGACAGAGTGAGATGGAGGAGGATGACTCACTGCGGAGATCCCTGAAGAGGGAAAAGCCGAAAGAAGAAGAAGTAAGTTAGTAAGTCAGTAATGGATGCCCGTGATCTTCAGCCCCTCAGGTGGGGCTGCATTAAAAACAGGTCTGTTCATTTTCATGGGCTCAGGAACACTTTCACAAATCATTGTCTGTAACCTCAGTTTACTTTGCCATACACAAATACTGGGTAAAGCTCTAATATGCAAAGAAAAAGCTGTATGTAAATACCATCCAAAAATCCCCAAAAGTTCAATCTGGTCCTCTGGACATTCAAAAAAACAAAACACATTGGATTTTTCTATCTGGATTATTGAGCATGCATCAGGATACTATCCAAAAATGTTGCTGTCTTGTCTGGGCCAAAGTCCGTTTAAAACATACCGAGCCCAGGTGGGAAGCTGTTCTGTCAGACAAATCAAAACTTGGAGGTATTTTTTTGGAAACAACATCCTCTGTAGTAAAGAGAACAGGAACCATCTGCCCTGGTATCGTCACACAGTTCAAAAGTCTGCTTCTCTGATGGTATGGGGGTGTATTAGTTATTATATGTTAGCACCAGGAATTGCTGCCATAAATTTTAAAGTTACCTTTTTTTTCCTTCGAAAAACGTACACCGTTCTTTAACCATTTGTGTTCCACTGTGAATAAAATGTTGTTTTAAGAATCATTGTATACTGTTTTTATTGTATGTTTAACATCCTCATAAATGGGATTCTATATTTAATACATTGTATGTTTGGTGTTGTAACATTTAAGGGTATTTATATCTAACACAAATGCAATGCTTCACATTTCAACCATGTTTCAGAGAAATGTGAAAGATAGCTTCTTGATTATTCATTTTTTTCTTATATTATGTTTTTATTTTGGTGCCAAACAGTTTTTGTATCTCTTGACTTTCAGAAAGAACAGATCATTTACTCAGCTGGAGGGTGCTGGTTCCCTTGAAAATGTTTTATGAGAAAAACTGAGACCTTCGTCACCCCAAAAGCCCTTTTTTGTTTGCTTTTCCTTGACTTCCTGGGTCTTTTTCAATAATAACTGTAAAGAACTGTGAGCTCTTTTGATTTGTTTCAACTTGAGACTTGCACAAGAAATTGATTTAATTAATTTGCACTGTACAGTGCATGCTGATATTGTGTTAAATGAAGTTAAAAGAGAATGAAAGGTGTTGGTGTACACTGGAACCATCAATGGTTAAATATTTACAAGACATTTATTTTTACTTTACAGAGGGCCAACTTTTCTTTGAGAGTCTCAGTCATGAAAGCAAAGAATCTGATGGCCAAGGATGCAAACGGTAAGTTCATTCAAACATAAATCAGTTATTTTCCAATGAAAAACAAGATTCATCCATCCAGCCATTATCTTTACCCATTTCTTCCATTTTGGGTCACGGGGGTAGCCAGTGCCCATGTCCAGCAATCACTGTGCGAGGGGCGGGGTACACCCTGGACGGGTCGCAAGTCCATCACAGGGCCACATAGAGACAAACAACCTTTCACTCTCTCACTCACACCTAGGGACAATTTAGAGTTACCAATCAGCCTAACATGCGTGTTTTTGGTCTGTGGGAGGAAACCGGAGCACCCGGAGAAAACCCACGCATGCACAGAGAGAACTGAAAAATAAGATGTTAAGTGATATTTTATACAGCATTAAAAACAAACTGAACAGCTTTTATTGGATTAAAGTCTCATCCATTACCTGTTTAAAGCATGTCTAAAAAAAATCAGTTAAAATATGAGCATCTTCACCAAAAATAGTTTTATAATCTCCAAATGGACACGGTTCACGTTTTATGTCCTCAGGGTACAGCGACCCCTACTGCATGCTGGGAATCCTGGTGGGGCAGAGCCCTCGGGACACAGAGGAGAAGAAAGAGAGAAAATTTAGCTTCAGGAAGAGGAGGGAGAAGCTGGAGAAACGCTCCAGCACCAAAGAGGTGTTACCTGCCAGGTGTATCCAGGTGACGGAAGTCAAACCGGAGACTCTGAACCCAGTGTGGGACGAGCACTTTGTGTTGTGAGTATGAGACAGACGTTTGAACTTTTTGAGGATGATGTGCGTCATGTGCAGGATTTTGTTTAGATTTGTTTTCACACTAAAGCTGTTAGTTTTGTGACCAGAGCACCACAGCGTCATCCCTGTGAAAGCAGGACTAAGCTGTTTACTGTCAATATTAGTCATGAATAAGATCATCCATCAGAGTTTTTCTTGTCTTGTCTTCTGCTTTTTCAGTGAAATAGATGATGTCCATAACGACCTGTTACACTTGGACATATGGTAAGTTTAGAACTAAGGAAACCACTTCGACGCTTTTGAATAATAAATTGTTTTAGCTCGACAATAAACAATTGTATCATCGACATAGAGAGTTTTGACCTACATTACTTATATAAATTGTAAAGAGAGTGGGTCCTAAGACTGGGCCTTGTGGTACACCATTATTGACAGTTAAATAGCTAGAAGAAGTACCATTGTGTTGAACACATTGCCTTTGACCTGAGAGATAATTAGAAAATCATTCGATAGCGTGATCTGAGAAACCAGTATCTGAGAGCTTATAAGATGTCATGGTCTATGGTATCAAAAGCTTTGGACTGGTCTAAATAAAGTGCATCACAGTAATCCTTAGCATCCAGTGCTTTGACAACATCATTAAAAACCTTTAGAGAAGCGGTCACTGTGCTGCGTTGTTTCCTGAAGCCAGACTTGTGGGAAGATAAAATGTCAAAATAATCCAAATACTTCTTGACTTATTTACTAGTTTTTCTAAAACCGTAGCTAAAATACAGAGTTTGGACGATAATTGTTCAAAATAGTGGGGTCTCCTCCCATAATTACTTGTGTCTGCACTTTTCTGTCTGTGTGTTTGGACATTTTTCTTTGCCTGTTAGCAAAATACCCAATAAACCACTGGACAGATTTAGATAAACCTCTCAGAAAGCAAGAACTGGATACAGATCTACAATTGATAACATTTTGGAGTCAAGATAAGATGATCCTGATCCTGTGGCCTAAAAGACAGTGAGCAGAATGCAGACCGTTAAGAAATGCTAGGTCTTTAATTTCTTTCTTTTTTATTTCTAACAATTGATTTTTGAAGCTTTTTTCTGGGTTGAATGACACAAACTAGAATTAAACTAGAGGATTTTTGATTTTGCATAAGTTTTTAATAGATTTAAATACTTCTTTGACTTTGATTGTTTGTGATGCTCATCATGCATCACAAACAATGATGAGTCCAGCTACAGGCAAGAGGTGGAACACCTGGAGAGCTGGTGCAGAGAGAATAACCTTCACATCAATGTGAAGAAGACAAAGGAGATGATTGTGGACTTCAGAAGGAACAAAAACATCTACACCCCCCTGAACATAAGAGGATCTGCGGTGGAAGTGGTCTCCAGCTACAAGTACTTGGTTGTACACATGAATGACAACCTCAGCTGGAGCAACAACACCACCAGCCTGATCAAGAAAGCTCATCAGAGACTCTACTTCCTCAGACGGCTGAGGCGAGCTGGTCTGGGAAGCTCAGTCCTCACCTCCTTCTACAGGTGTGCAGTGGAGAGCATCCTGTGCTCCAGCATCAATGTGTGGCATGGAGGCTGCACAGCTGCAGAAAGAAAAGCTTTGCAGAGAGTGGTGAAGGCTGCACAGAAATCTGTTGGAATCAGCCTCCCCACCATCACAGACATCTACACCTCCAGATGCAGGAAGAGGGCCACCTGCATCATGAAGGACCCAACTCACCCAGCACACACACTTTTTGCCCCACTCCCCTCAGGAAGGAGGTTAAGGAGCATTAAGTGTAGAACCACTAGACTGAGGAACAGCTTCTACCCTGAGGCTGTTAGACTCATGAATCTCTAACTAGAATAATCACTGTGAAGAATCACATCATGTTGCTGCTGATCTGTTTAAATGTTTTGTTCATGCGTGCACATCTGCTCACAGACTCATGTTCATGTTTGTGCTGATGTTCAATGTTTTATGTTATGAGTGCTTAGTGTATATTTAGTTGATGTTTTTCTTAGTTCATATCTTAGATGTTATTACTGTTTTTCTTAGACATTTTATTGTTGGATGTAACTGGGACCCCGTGTACATAATTTCGCTCCACCACATGTACCACATGAGGTGCGAATGACAATAAAGAAACTCTGACTCTGACTCTGACTCTCTCTGATTTCCTTAACTACAAAATGTTGGAAAAACCCTTCTTGCTTTTTTGAACAAAATTGGAAAGGGCTTACTCAGTAAATGTAGAAAAGGTATTTTTTATTTTACTTTCCTAGTTGGATTATTGGTGATCAAGACAAAACCCACTCAGAGGAAACGGAAGGTTGTAATATGTTGTTTTCTGCAGGGATCATGACGATGATGTTTCTGTTGCCGAGGCCTGCAAAAAGCTTAATGAAGTCAGTGGTCTTCGAGGAATGGGCAGGTAAGACCCCACTGTGTCTAACTTCAAACTTATAACAAATTATTACACAGTAAATGTCTCAGAATCCCTATTTCTCTTCCTTATCCCTATCTCCCTATCCCTATCTCTTCCTTCTTCCTGCTCTGCTCTGCAGAATGTCTACGTAAATATGTGCTTGTTTGTGCGAAGTGTTTTTTCAATATTAGGGGTTTTTCTCAGCCAAGAAAAAAGTCTGATAGGAATTTTTTTCGCCTCCAATTCCTACATGTGTCCAGTTAACCACTGTTTTTTTTTTTTGTCTGTCCAAACAGGTCTCACTTGTAAATGAGTCTTCGAGGCTCAATGTGATTTATCTGTTTAAATAAAGGTTGAATGAATGAATGAAATTTGACATTCATATTTTAGCAGTTTTATTAGTAGTGTTGATGTGTGGATATGCAACAGATTCTGATTTTGTGCACAACTAAATGTGTAATTTGATAAGTAATTAATTCACCTAGTTGTGACAGAAAAGAGATGAGTCATCAATAAACATGTCAATGAAATGGTCTCTTTTATGTGAATAAAGCCTGAAGTGGCAATTACTGAATCAAGGGTCCTTTATGTGTGTATGTGTTGAAAAGGCTGCTTGTTGACTCCATGTGAGCGTTTTGAATTTTATCCTTGTAAAGACACACGGAGGAAGGCTTGGTGCTCAGAAAGCTGTGCAACCAGAAAACAGAGCCTGGAAAATAGTAGACATATTGAATAGGAACCAGAGAATGTCAATGAAAGCCAAGGGACCAACGGTTCATTAGTATGTAGTGAAAATTGTACTATTTTCATTTTAACTCATTTTTTAACACATTGCTGTTAGGAAAATAACTTCAGCCTGTTTTTTCAAAGTGTCTTTAGACATGTGAGTGCATTCAGAACAGATTAGGTTTTAGACCCCCTTCAGATCTGGTCCTGACCTCTTTTATCCGCAGACATTTATAGTCTGAGCACAATCCGTCCTGATCCTCGATACAAGACCTGACGTGACTCCGCACGAGCTGCGGAGTTATTACCTGGACACCTTGGGCTTCAAAACGTCTACTTCTGCTGATGATTTTGTTGCTTGTAAAAGATGATTAAACTGTCATTCTTGGGATATTCTGAAGATATGGCTGTTTTTTTCTTAATTATTATTATTTTATTTTTTTTTGTAAATAACGTTCTGAGATATATTGAGTTCAAGTATCTTGGGTTTTGTTCACAAGTGAGGGAAGAATGGAGTGTGAGATTGACAGACGGATTGGTGCAGTATTGTGGACTCTGTGCTGGTCCGTTGTGGTGAAGAGGGAGCTGAGTTGTACGGCAACGCTCTCTGTTTACCGGTCGGTCTGCGCTCCTACCCTCGCTTCTGGTCATGAGCTCTGGGTAGTGACCGAAAGATCGTGGCTACAGGTGGTTGAAATGAGTTTCCTCCGCAGGGTAGCTGGACTCTCCCTTATAGATAAGGTGAGAAGTTCAGTTATCCGTTAGAGACTCAGAGTAGAACCGCTGCTCCTCCACAACGAAAGGAGCCAGTTGAGGTGGTTCAGGGATCTGATAATGATGCTTCCTCAGCGCCTCCCTAAGGAGATGCTTTGGGCATTTCTGACTGGGAGGAGACCCCAGGGAAGACCCAGGACACACTGGAAAGAATACATCTCTCGGTTGGCTGGGGAACACCTTGGGGTCCTCCCAAAAGAGCTGAAAGAGGTGGCTGTGGAAAGAGATGTCTGGACCACCCTACTCAAGCTGCTGCCCCTGCGACCCGACTTCAGAACAGGCAGAAGATAATGGATGGATGGAGTTGAAAGAAGGCAGCACGGTGGCGCAACTGGTAGAGCTGCTGCCTCTCAGCGAGCAGGTCCTTGGTTCAAATCCCGGTCCAGGGGCCTTTCTGGGTGGAGTTTGCATGTTCTCTCCGTGCATGCGTGGGTTTTCTCTGGGTGCTCCGGTTTCCTCCCACAGACCAAAAACATGCATGTTAGGCTGATTGGTAACTCTAAAATTGTCCTTAGGTGTGAGTGAGAGTGAATGGTTGTTTGTCTCTATGTGTCCCTGTGATGGACTTGCGACCCGTCCAGGGTGTACCCCGCCCCTCGCACAGTGATTGCTGGACATGGGCACCAGCGACCCCCGTGACCCAAAATGGAATAAACGGGTAAAGATAATGGATGGATGGATGGAGTTGAAAGATTAATATTTTCAGTTTTTATTTTCACACAAAGCTCAGTAATTGAGTATATTGGGAGATAACCTGACAGGAATACAACTCAAATGGTTTTGGACCCTGTTAACATCAAAGATAAATGGCTCAGATGTCTGAATGTACCACAGAAGCATCAAGAGACGTTAATGCTCACTTACAGCTCACTGTGTGATTTACCTACATGTATATTTGCATGCAGAGGCAGATGGTAGCCCATCCTGAGCCTGATCCTGCTGGAGGTCACTTCCTGTTAAAAGAGAGTCTTTCCTTTCCACTGTCACCAGTGGGCTGCTCAGGATGGGATATTGTGACAAAGTGAAGATTTGACAGAAAATACTGACTTCCTTACAAAGTGGCTTTTTATAATGTATGTGAATTTACATTATGAACGGTGCCCTGAAACAACTTTTGTTGTTAATGGGTGCTACATAAATAAACTGAACTGAACGGATTTGAATACAGAGCAGGAAGCTGACAGCCAATCACAAAAACGTTCTGGAGTACCTGTTAACTGCTAGATGTGAACGCTCCGATCAGAGTTGACCACTTTCATTCAAATTGATTGATATTTAACGACAAGTATGAACAGCCTCTTAGAGCGAAGGAAAATTTCTGTACAGCTGACAATATGTGATTTTAAAAATTAAATGAAGAACCATTTGTTTTGTTTCTTCCTAGGTATTTTAAGCAGATAGCAAAGTCAGTGCGTGCCAATGGGTCGTCATCGTCGAGCTCGGAGGAGAACGCAGACGACTTCCTCGGATGCATCAACATTCCTTTGAATGTGAGTACTCAAATTAAAATGTCTCTAATCAGCAGATTCTATTAGAAAACACTCAAGATGAAATTGTTTAAAAATTCAACAGAATCGTTAATGAAACCTTCTTGCAGGAGATCCCAGTTGCTGGCTACGACACCTGGTTTAAACTGGAGCCTCGATCGAGTGCGTCTAAAGTTCAGGGAGAATGTCACCTGATTCTGAAATGCTTCACCAGCCAGGTATTTTCATGCACAATATTATCAGCAGTCTCCCTGCGTGAAGAGTTACAACTTATGTTTGTTTTACCTTCAGAGGGACACAACTTTATCTAAGAGGGACACAAATGTCTCCATTCACAAGAAACTGTTAAGTCAGATTGTGGAGTATGAGCATGCTCAAGTTAAGGTGAGTTCAGTTTTCATGGTTTTATCCATTTTATTTATTATTAATCGTTTGAATTTAGGGCTGCTGCATTTAGCCTAAGTGGGTCACTTTAACCCTGGTTGGGTGCTCAAGTTAATCTGACCCATTCAATGTTTCCTGATGGGAAAAATATGTTTTAAAATATCAATGGCATGCAGAAGAGCATGTTTTCACCGAGTGCACAACCTTCCCCATCTCATATTTTACATGAGACGTGATGTTCAGGGTCAGTTTAACCTTGGAGTAAAATGAGCGCTTGTGAAAAAGGAAGATAGATCTTTTTTGGTGTCTGTCTGCTATAAATGAGTCTGTGCCTCTGTGTTACTGTGCAACATTTACCAACAAACATAGAAACAGCCTCATTTTGCACAAGCTTTTTTAAATTAAATGTTGAGGTTATAAAGATTTTTTTTTTTTCAGGAATGTAATTTTACTCTTATTTTGCTTTTTGTTGCAGCAGGCAGCTGTTGCAATAGTTCCATATTAGCTGTAACACTTTTTAGGCAGTCTCTATTTTTTAAAGCATGTTTAATAAAAATAAAAATAAGAAATATGGAAGCAGAGCTTTTAAATGTGGACATTTTGCAGCTACAGATACTTTACATTTTGTTTTACTTTGTATTATTGCCTGCCAATAAAGACAAAAAGGCAATTTTTTTTGTCCATGTTTGTGTGCATGTGTTCATTAAATTATTGTGTTAGCAAAATATCTTCTAAACCCCTGGACAACTTTTAATGAAACTTAAAAAGGCAACCATTAGATGGGCGTCTACATCTAATTAACTTTTCGAGTGAATCCAATTCAAGATGGCCACCACAGGCAAGTGACCTGACAGAAAACTAAAATGGTAAAATACTAACAATTATTAATTGAGCTGAAATTTGATGTATTAATAGGTGAGATTGGTCCTACTGCTTCATTATTTGTCTGTCTGTTAGCAAAATATTTCTAAAATCACTGGAAATGTTTTAAATTTTTACTGCAAGTTTTACAAAGTAATCACTGTGTGTACATCTGCAGCTGCTTGGGGACTGCCTAGAAAGGCAGCCACCTACTATTATCCACCTGAAAAGGGTCTTACTCTTCCTTCAACTTCACTGTGGCCCGAACCACAACGTGTACCCGCACAAATTTTATATCAGAATGACCGGCTCGGCACTGTGATGTGTGATATTTATGTTATTAGCATTTTGAGTTACCATGGCGATGTAATTTGCAAACAAAGATGCCATTTTTCTCATTGATAAACTGATATAACTCTTAACAGCTTCCAACTACTGCAATGAGGTCACATGACCTAGAGGGGCGAGGGTCCTATCTTTCGAAGGATCCCGTCTACCCAGTCGATGTAGGCTGGGTCATTAACTTTTTGAATCATTTTTGTTTCAAGATGGCTGCCACAGCTACTGCAGATACCTCAAAATTGACTATAAGTCAGTCATTCTTAGATATATTGAGCTGAAGTTTGGTATGGTTGTAGCTGAGAGCGAGTTTCATTCCTAATGAAAATTAAAAATCCAAGATGGCCGCCGTAGCTAAAAGGGGAAAAGATATGATAACTCAGCTATTTTAAAAGATATTGAGCTGAAATTTGCTGTGGTGGTACCTGACAGCAACGCACAACACATTCTGAATTCAAATCTAAAAATGCAAAATGGCCACCGTAGCTAATTTCAAATGGACATAACTCAGAGGTTTTTAGAGTTACTTAGCTGAACTCTCATTGCAGATCAAAATCCAAGATGGCTGCCTGAGCCGCAAAGGAAAAATACGATCATTAAGCCATTTTTAGAGAAATTAAGTTGAAATTTGGTGTGGTGTTAGCTGAGAACAATGCACAATAAGCTACATTTAACTTTAACTCAGCTACTTTTACACATATATAGAGCTGAAATTTGGTGAGGTTATAGCTGAAAATGTTCCCTGCTATCCATACTGAATCCAAATCAAAATTCCAAGATGGTCGCCATAGCTTAAAAGAAAAAATTACTATAACTCGTTGATTTGTTGTTTTTTTTTTTTTTTTTTTGGCCATATTGAGCTGAAATTTGGTATGGTGGTAACGAACCCCATATTACTGTCAAATCAAAATTTAAAAATGGCCGCCACGTGGCAGTCCCCGTCAAAGTTTCTCCAGGAACTTTCTAGTTAACTTTTAAAATCACTAAAATTCAAGCTGGCTATCACAGCTAGCTACAGTTAGCCAACACAAAAATGACTATTTAGTCCATTTTGTGGATAATTGAGGTAAAATTTGTTGTGGCAGTAGCTGAGAATCATCTACCACATACATGCTGAGCATCTTCTGACAAATCATAAGGTTGTGTCTTCTGTTGTTTTCAAAGTTTTACCAACGCATCATTTCATAAAAAGATGCTAGTCTAACTCTTTCATGAAAGGCAGACATATACATTCCTTCAAGGAGTGAACTTTAAATTTTATTTTTCATATGTTTACTTGTTTCATTGCAGTCAAGTGTTTTACCATCATAAAAAGAATCCGACGCTGATTCAAATGTAACTTAAGCTAAATTGCAGTTTTTGAAATTACAGAGAGAGCCGTACAACTGGAACGGGCAGGTCTCTCCTCCTGCGTGGACGCTGCTAACTCACCATGCTGTGCAAACGGACCTGTCACCTCTGCAGCAGGCGATTGTGTGGGTATTAATGATGGGGTCAAATCGATCCAATCAAATCCGAGGGCTGCAGCGTCGGCTGGAAGGTGTGTTTTATTTTCTTTCACGCAGACGCTGGCAGTGCTACGGCGGCCACCATCGAAACCAGAGGGTGTGCTACTCCCTGCTGCTGCGCCTCCTGAGGACCATCGATGCAGAGTGGGATCCTCCCGCTGTGAGGGGAGACCTGGTAGGTTATCGGCTGCCAGATGGAAGATAAAAGAAAAAAATCCTTTCATCGCCTAGAAACAGTCACCTCATTAGCTCAGCTCTTCACTGGCATTCATCAAGGTTTTTGGTTCAGCCAAAAATGTCTCAGAGCCGGTGTACCGGAAGCTATAACTGAAGGCCCTTCCTGTGTCCAGGAGAGGCAGCTGTCAGACAGCTTCAGACTGTACACAGAGCACTGCCTGTGCCTGATGAAGAACATGCGTCAGGTTTTCCCCTGCACCAGCGCCGCTGCCATTACACGCTACGAGCTCATGCTGAGGTAAAGTCACACCTCCATCACATCATTCTATGAACTCTTGCTGCCAAGACGTTGGACCTTTCACCTCCTCGCACACAGAGACCATGAGCAGTAATATCACAGTATATTACAACAGTCTCCTGATCATGCCTCATTATTCATGTCAAAGAAAATATCAATCATTTCTTCTTCACTACAACTGATGCTGCACAAATCCTAAATCATCACCGAATTTGTGTCAGTATTTTTGACATGGGCTATTTTAAAAGTAGCAAAGGGTTTAGCTGTAAGCTAAAAGTAGAACAGTAGCTAAAAGCTAAAAATAGCATGAAGTCATACTTTGTACTATTTTTTTTAATTATCTCTGCTCTTGGCATGGGCAGCACGGTGGCACAACTGGTAGAGCTGGTGCCTCTCAGCGCGCAGGTCCCTGGTTCAAATCCTAGTCCGGGGGCCTTTCTGGGTGGAGTTTGCATGTTCTCTCCGTGCATGCGTGGGTTTTCTCCGGGTACTCCGGTTTCCTCTCACAGACCAAACACATGCATGTTAGGCTAATTGGTAAATCTAAATTGTCCCTAGGTGTGAGTGAGAGAGTGAATGGTTGTTTGTCTCGTTTGTCTCTATGTAGCCCTGTGATGGACTTGCGACCTGTCCAGGATGTACCCCGCCCCTCGCACAATGATTGTCGGACATGGGCACCGGCAACCCCCGTGACCCAAAAGAAGCGGGTAAAAGATAATGGATGGATGGATGCTATTGGCATTTTGGCACCTAAAATCACATTTAGATGTCTTCAACATGTTCATGTTTAGACCAGCGTTGTTTAGTTTTTAGCCTAGATGTTTGTAGACAGTTTCCAGTGGTTCCCAACACTGGTCCTTGAGGAACACCATCCTTAGTTGTTTCTCTGCTCCAACACACCTGATTCAGTGATTTAACTATTTAGTCATGTTCTGCAGACGCCTGTTAATTACACATTAATTAAAATCAGGTGTTTTGGAGAAGAGAAACAACTAAAACATGCAGGATGGTGTTCCTCAAGGACCAGGGTTGGGAACCCCTGGTTTAGACATGGTTTGAACCCAAAAATTGCTCACTAAGTTTGCTTGGTTTTCATGTTTACAGGAAGTCCCTAAGTTATTGTTGAATATTGTAAAATTAGACCAAGTGTTATTCCCTCATTGTTGGGAATTAAAGCCAGCAGGACTGGTTTATGGAAGCCGCCATGTTGTATTTTCAGAGTCAGCTCACCAACAATTTAGGACTTGTAGTCCCACCTATTTCCCCACAGAACAATTATGATGTCACATGACTTTTTTTTCTTTAAAGTGTGACATAAAACTTGTTAGAAAAATAAATATCTGAACATACAACAGCAAGGTAAGAACTTAATCAACTAAAGTCAACGCTTGAAAAAGATATGTGAGACCGTGGGTTTTTTTTAAATATAGTGGTCCCTCGCTACTTTGCGGTTCGTTTTTCACGGACTCACTCTATCACGGTTTTTCAAAGTAAGATTGGGCATGTCACACAATTGGCTGACTGGATGAGCCATATGATTGGCATGGAATTTTTATTTAAAATAAATTATTTTAAATTATTTAGCACCTGCTGCACCTCTCTGCAGCTCACACTGCAGGAGAAGCTTCTTGCTGCGGCTGATTTGTGTGCAGAACGGAGAAGTGGGTGTGGCCAAGAGCGCTTGCAGGTGGGGAGAGCAGCCGAGAGCTGAGCTCATGACATCCTGTGCTCTTTTACAGCGTTTGGAGTTTAGAAACATTGTAGAGATGTTTGCAAGAGTGTGGGAAGAGTTTGTGGTTTTTCACTTATCGCGGGGCTTCAGGGTACGGAACCCACGTGATAAACGAGGAACTACTCTAATTGCAAAGTCCTGTTCATTTACATGGATGGGTAGGACTTAAAACTCGTATTAGGCCCGGCCTATGTGGCGGCTTCAACTTCCTAGTTATTCTACGACGTCCAGTATTTCTGTATACGGTCGATGGTTGTGTTTTTATGAAGACAAAAAACATACAAACTGACATAGTGACTCACCAAGCGGGTCAAGTTGTATCTCTCCTCCTGCATAAGTAATTCTGCATACAATTAGACTGAAATCCATCTATGAGACTGTAGCCATTATACTTGCTAAACTGTGAGAACAATGTGTAACTGCGTGATGAGTCGAATAGCAATTTTGTATTGTAATTGGTTTTTCCTGTGTGCATGCCAGGGGGATTGGCTACATGCAAAACATGAGAGCATTTAAGACCGTTTGTCCTCTTCGGAACGAGCTGCATTTGGACATCACGACCGCTGTCAAGGTAACAATGGGAGCGCAATTAAAACAGAAGCATTTATGTCATATGGTAGCAGCACGGTCACAAAGACCTGCAAGTGCATCATGAAAACAAGGATGATGAAATAAAGCAAGAGGAATCTGATAGGAGCTGTTTGGATTCTTGTGTCCACAGAAAGGAGCAGCTGAGTGGTACGAAAGCCTGATAGCTCAATATAAACCAGAGGAAGGGGTAAGTTTTTGATGCCCAATTTCTGCAACTTCTTTGAGCGTTGAGGACTTTGGTTGTTATTCACTGTGTTTCGACAACGCAGACTCTGGAGGAGCAGCTGAAAAAAATGGTTTGCGTTATCGATGCTGTGTGTGCAGATGTACAAAGAGCTCAGAACATCTACAACAAGCTCTTCTACAGGTGAATATTGTTTCACAGCAGCCGAATGTGCACGCGTTATACGTCAAGAAATGCAACACGATGTATAAAAGCTGTGCTTCCTGCTGTAGCCACATTCGAGTGCCTTGTTAGCCGGTTTGATGTCCTTTCATCCTTTGTTCCCACAGTGCTGTGAAAGTAGATTTCTTCAGCGTATCATACAGGCAGTTGGAAAAACAGGTTAGTCTTTGAAACTGTGTGAAAATGGGGTCTGAAGCCTTTGTGCGTCATGCTGCATGGGTGTTGCTAAAATTGACTCTGGCACTTTCAAATTCCTTCACTCGGCAGGTAGCTGATGATGTAAATGTGGCAATGGAGCGGGTTTGTGGGACTCTGGAGCAGGAGAGCTCCCGACTGACTCAGACGATGGGGGAGACCATCTTTGAGCTCTTCATGTCCCTAAAAATTCTCAAAGGCTTTCGGGAGTTTCTACCTCTCAAGTTAGTAGTGCTGTTTTTAAAATATCTGATTAGCGTTTGTATGCTTTGCTTTATCGTTATTATTTTTTTGAACTTGTGTTCTCATTTTCTCAACAGAGATGCAAAAATGTTGGCCATGACGGGCTTCCATAATTGGTTCAAGTCCTCTATTCATAAGTGGCTGCAAATTGTTCATGAAAAATCCTGCGATAGGATCCGTAAAGCAGTGGAAACAGACCAGGTGGGAAAAATCTGTTCATCAAATGTAACTAGAGAAATTCCATTTCCTGCAAAAATGCAGTGTGAACGCTTATTGCTGAATAACAGCTGAAATTAGCTAAAAACTTGCTAAATTGTAGCTGAAGTGGAAAAACCAACCTAAATTAGCAGAAGAAAGCGGAAAGAACGCGTATTTGCTGAACTAGGTTTAAATAAGCAGAAAGAGATTTGCTAAAAAATAGCTGAAATTAGCAACAAAAAAACTGCTGAATAGTATTTGAAAAGGCAGAAAGAAGCTTAAACAACCAGAAAGAAGCATAAAGAGTTAAAATGAGCTACAAATGTGGAATTAGATGACAAAGCTAAAATTAGTATAGAAGCTGAATAGCTAAATAGTAGCTGAAATAGCAGAGAATGCTGAAACTAGCAGAAAAAGCTGAAATTAGCAGAAATAAGCTAATTAGGCTGAAAGTGGAAAAAAATAAACAACCCCCATAAAACTTGAATTTATCTGAAAACAGCTGAAATAAGCTAAAAATGTTAAAAAGGTAGCTGAAAATGTAGAGCAAGCTTAAGCAGAGGAAAGAAGAAAGAACATGTTTGTTCAATTAGGCTGAAAGAATCAGAAATTAACACAAAAAGTGGAAATTATCTGAAAAAAGCTGAAATAAAAAAAAACCTGCTGAAAAGTTGCTAAAAAGGCAGAAAGAAGCTTACATTGCAAGGAGGAAGTGGAGAGAGCACATTTTTGCTGAATTAAGCTGGAAAAAAGTTTAAATGAGTGCAAAAATGTGGAATTAGCTGAAAAGGCTAAAATTAGCATAAAATCAGCTAAATAATAACTGAAATAGCAGAAAATCTTGAAACTAGCATAAATAAGCTGAAAGGAGCATAACGAGCTGAAATTAGCAGAAACAAGTTAGAAGAAGCATAAAAAAGTTGTAGTTGGCAGAATAAAGCTGAAATGAGTGCAAAACAGCTGAAAGTAGCTGAAAAATATATATATATATTTGCCCAAGGGAGCTGAAAGAAGCTGAACCAGACCAAAATGTGAAAGGAGCAATCAAAGGTTGTAAAATGAGCTCAATTAATTTCCTATGAGAGAAAAAAGTGGCAGAAAAGGCAAAATATTTAAAAAAGCTAAAGTTTTACCAATACCAAAAGTCATAGCACCTTTCTCCTGAACAAGCTGAAGATTTTGATATATGATTTGTTGAAATAGCACAAAAATTGTTGAACAAGAAAGATGCCGAAAGACGTACAGAAGAAAAATGGATCACGATGGTGTGAATGCTTCATAAACATTCACACAATAAATATTATCGTGGGAACAGTGTGAGCTCATATGAGATGATAGACTGAAAAGTTGCAAACTGAAGTGGTAAGCATCATATTTGTAAAGTACTTCAGAAAAACATGATTCTTAAGTAACTTTTTTAGCTTTTTTAAACCACTATAGTATAACTTGTAATAGTTAGGGTTATCAATTTTTGCAGCTGCCTTATTCCTTTAAACTGAATTCATCTATTACTCTCTTTGTGTTTAGTAGAGGTTCAAATAACATATGCTTGAGTTTTAATTGAATACAGTAACATTCTGCCAAAACTTAAAGGTTGAAAAAGCATGTGCTTTGTGAGCAGCTCCAGCCGGTTCAACAAGCCAAACACAGTTCGTCAGCCGTGGAAGTGACAGCTTGCTTCAGCCAGGTACGCGAGATTTGGCACCAGCTGGCCTGGCCAGACTCTGCGGGGGCCTTCATCTTTGTCACTCGTTTGACAGACGTGAGTGCCACTTTTAGTGTCGCCACACATACTCATATCCTGCAGTCGTGCTCAGATGATTTCTAGATGACGTGCACTCACCGAGAGTTAATGAAAGATTTTACCAAACAGAACAGAGTAGAAACTCAGAACACCTCAGCAACAACATTGATTGATTAATTGATTCATTCCTCAGAATTTCTGCAGTGAAGGCGTTTGCTACTCTGAGATGATGACACGCAGGATTGAGCGGAACCAGCTGGGCCGAGACCACAAGGCCTTCACAGTGCAGGTAACGCCTGTAGCAAAACAGAACTGGAGGAGGATGACGTCAAAAATGTCTGAAAGTGTCCCACCCTGCCAGGACACATGCAGCAAATAGCTCTGCAGTGTTCATCCCAGTAATGTTCACAACAGAATCAGACCTGTTTTCAATTCAGTTCAATTCAAAAATACTTTATTAACCCCAGAGGGAAATTAAATACTGTTGTAACTCATCATCCTGGTTCCATTAAAGACTTGTTCTAGATGCTGATGGCTGTGGGCAGGAAGGATCTCTTGTAGCGGATTTGAAGAAGCCTCTGACTGAAGACAGTCTGATGAAGAGGATGCTGAGGGTTGTCTATAATGTTCTTCATTTTATGAAGAATCCTTCTTTGTACAATCATCTCCAAAGGTTCTAGAGGAGTCCCCAGAGCTGAGCCAACCTTCTTTATGAGCTTGTTGATCTTTTTGAAGTCACCCCAGCACATGATGGCAGAAGAGATAGCACTCTCTACAACAGACTTGTGGAAGATTTGCAGCATCTTGTTGCAAACACTGAAGGACTTCAGCTTCCCCAAGAAGTACAGTCTGCTCTGTCCCTTCTTGTAGACGCTTCACTGTTGCATCTCCAGTCCAGTCTGTTGTCCAGGTGAACCCCAAGGTATTTATACTTCTCCACCACCTCCACTTCTTCTCCCATGATGGAAATAGTGTTGGACCTGTTCCTGTTTCTCCTGAAATCTACAATCATCTCCTTTGTTTTGTTCTCATTCAAGATGAGATGATTGTTTCCACACCATGCCACAAAGCAGCATGTATAATAATATAGTTTAAAGGCATAGTTTGATATGTAATCATCACGTGAGGAACCAAAGACCACGGGCGTCCAGTGTTGACCTTCAACCTTGTCATTTGTTCTCAGTGATTCCTCCAGATTCTTGATATTTTGGGGTCATATTTCAAACTGTAGACAATGCTGGAGTATCAGAGATATTCAGAAGGATTTCCAACAAACACAACATCCCAGTACATTTCAAACCCAGCAGGACTCTCAGACAGAGGCTGGTCCACCCTAAGGACAAAACACCCAAACACAAACAGAGTGGTGTAGTGTATGCGGTCCAGTGCAGCGAGGACTGTCCAGACCTCTACATTGGGGAAACTAAACAGCCTCTTCACAGACGCATGGCTCAACACAGGAGAGCCACTGCCTCAGGACAAGACTCAGCTGTTCACCTCACAGATAAGAGACACTCTTTTGGACCGAGAACACAGATGGTTTGAGAGGGGGTGAAGGAAGCAATTTATGTAAAAAGAGAAAAACTGTCTCTTAACAGAGGAGGAGGCCTCAGATTTCAACTTTCAAAAACATATAATACAACTTTAAGACTGATTCCCAGCCGGTTTTCACATCTGATGGAAACAGAGGGGCCTCATCTGTGAATTAGAGGAACAAAGACTTTAAGAAACAACTACTGTTAAGGTGTGAGGTGCGAATTGTCAATCTGCATAGTACGTGTATCTTATCTCACTCAGCCTTATAACCTGAACCCCTCACTCTCTGCTCTTTGAACTGAGAAAGCTCCTCGGATGAGGAGCGAAACGTCTTCTGTTACAAACAAAGTCCAGTTTTTTTTTTTTATTTGATCATGTCCTGGACGACTGAGAATCTTCACCAGCAAACTGTAGACAATGGGATACAGTTGTACAGGATCCAATGGGATCAAAGTTTTCCCAATTTTACATTGAGGACTTTTTTTCTAAAATTGCTCAACTATTTTTAGTTGACGTTTTATGCAGACTGGTGAACCTCTGCCCATCTTTACTCCTGGAAGGATTCAGCTTCTCTACAATGTTATTTTTATGGCCAGTCCTCTTACTGACCTGTTGCCCCTCCAGCTGTTTCTTAGTCGTACCTTTTACCCAGGGGTGGATGTAATGAATTACAAATACTCACGTTACTGTAATTAAGTAGATATTTTGGGTACTTGTACTTGCATGAGTATTTCTTTGAAGTGTGTAATTTTATTCATACTTAAGTACATTTTAGACCATGTAATCTACTTTGCTACTTTTAAAATCAGAAGTCATTAATGAGTACGGCCACAATTTGAAGTAATATTCAAACTGTTCACCTGCGTCTTTGGTGCCAAATAGGCTCTCAGATTGCGAACGCGCCAGTTACCTCTGACGTAAGCAAAGGACAACTCCGTAGAGTAGAGAGTCATTTAGAGTTTACTCTTCACAGCCAAACGAAGCCAGATAGACTCTGTTAACTTGGAAAACCAGCTCCTGCTGACACTGAACAAAAGGTTCAGAAAGTGACGGGTGACAGAAATGTCTCCCGCCTGTTGTTCGCAGTGTATTTGAAAAAAGTTTAAACTGTTCAATGCCCGTTCAAAAACATTTTTGTCTTTCTTTTAACAAACAAAATTCCTGCTTTATCTACATTTTCTTACAAAAAGAAATGGCCTTAGTGTAATTTTTCTATACTTGATTGTCCGTCTGAGAAATGTGCTTTGAATGTAGCTATTATATCAAGTAAATCGAACTGAACGCCTTCTAACATCGATTAGTTAAAAAGTAATGAATACTCTGAATCGTTTTTGAGAAGAGTATTTTATACTTTTACGTAAATATTTTTATAGCACCAGTACTTTTACTTGTGAGTACAATTTAAGCAGTGCGACAGTACTTGTACTTGAGTACAAATTTTCAGTACTCTTCCCACCTCTGCTTTTACCACTACAGCCTTTTTGTTTCACAATCCCAACTCTTTAAGATTTGCTGCTGCCATAAAATTATATTTTTACTAAAAACAGTAGACTTTCTTAGTTTAAACATTTGGCATGTTTACTGTTTCTTTAATAAAAATAAAAGGTTGTGAGATTTGCAAATCATTGCATTCTGGTTTTATTTACATTTTACACAACGTTCCAATTTTTACAGCGCTGGGGTTGAAACAAATCGATTGCTACTGACGTCATAAGTTATTTACACCTGCACTCCATCACTCCATGTCTTAGCAGCCCTGCTTCTCTTATTTTCCTTTATTCTCCTCCATCAACTGTTCCTCCTCATTTGCTTTCTGCTAGCTGTGCATTGCCCTGAACAACGTAGAGCATGTGCGTGTCTGCCTGGCTCACCTGCCTCGTGACCTGGACTGGTCAGGAGTGGAGCGGGCCATGGAGGAGTCCTGCGGAGTGGAGGGAAAAGAGCAGGTTTACAAGGCTCTGAACGGGCAGCTGTTTAACGTGGACCTGGACCTGCAAAGAGAAGCCAAGCGCCTCATCGCGCTGCTCGCTGACAAGGTGACAAAAGAAACTGCACTCGAGCCAAATCTCTCAAAAGGTCATTAATGCATCGAGCGTTGGCTCAAAACAAGACATTGAAGATTCATTCGGGGTGACTTTTATAAAAAAAGATGCGTAATGGAAATAATGAACAGCAACTTCATCTACTATGATTTTTTTTTTTTAATTCACCTGTTTTTAATCTGAAATGCTTATGTGCAACTTCACAAAGAGCAGATTACTCTAAGATATTTTAATATTAATATTTTTATAAGTTGGTAGTAAATCTTTTAGGGGAGTCTGCATTTTCTTTTCCCCATTGCTGTTCTTCAGAATATATATTTCCGTGTGCAGATGTTGCCTGAGCTGCGGAGGTACATCCAGCACATCAGCCTGTCTCCGGACTCGATCAACAACGATGAGGTTTGCAGCTCCCGTTTCCAGCCTTGTGTCAGCTTTCTGTCAGTCACGTCATGTATGTAACGGGTGGACTTTCTTCCAGGCTGTCTCTCCTCTCATGAAGTACCTTCAGGACACTATGCTCATCCTGACTGAAAACCTTGTTAAAGAAAATCTGAGCAGGTATATTCTCTCTTCGTCTGACATCTCACTATTTCTCTCTCGCAGTGTGAGTCCAGTTTTATTTCTCATGCTCCCACTAGATTTATTTTTTGTTTGTAACGAGTCAAAGCATTTCAGTGCAAATATATATATATATATATATATATATATATATATACATGGGGAAATAAGTTGAATTGATTACGAAATACAAGGAGTTGCAAATAATGAGCATCTAATGCAAACATATGGTGCAAATTTTAAATTTGACCACCATCACTAACAATTTACTTGTTATATAAGTGTACTTGAAGTGAAACTGTATTTAATCCATAGGCTGTTTTGCAAATAGGTTTATCTGATTTATGTTTTGTGCATTACACATCCACCATTTAAATGAATAAACCTCCTGGAGAAAGGCGAGCACACCCCAGCTGCTTCAGACACGTGTCCTGAACAAATGAGATACAACTTTTCTAAATTAATCAGAATGTTGTGTGACAAAACCCATCAGTGTCTTCTCTGAAAGTGATGGACAGCATGTCCTCCAGCCTTGAGAAAAGGGTAACCCACTCGTTTTGGTACCAGCACACTTTAATAGTGCCAGCATATATAATAGTGTGTGAGCTTCAGGGAGAGGGGAGTTGCATTTGTGCACACAATTTTAGTAACTTGCACATCTAAGGAGGCATCTTAAAAGCCGAACAGTATTTACACATCTAAGAGCGCACATGCTGCCATCCAGATGGCGGCTTTTTCAAGAAGCTCCCTGCTTCTTTCAACACGACGGTGTTACGTTTTACAACAGCACGGCTTTGTAGAAGAAATGTCAAGGTGTTACAGCGCCTGATAGCAGCTGAGAAAGCCCAGCTATTTAAATGAGTTCAAACATAAAAGCCTGAAATGGTAAACAGTTCAAATCCTATAACTGGCAAGAGCAGGGAGAAGATAAAGAAAGTAGTTTTTCATTTGAAACACTGGTGTCATTTTCAATCTGCAGGTGTAAAGATGCTACACAGATCAGGGCACTAACGATCGGTCGTTAGGCTCATGGTCCTTCTTTTGCATGTGAACAACTAGTTTGGGCTGTCATCAGCAAACAGCTTGATCCACTACAGTTATCTATCTAGCAATCATATAGCTCCAAAAATGCTGAATGACTGATGAAATTTGTTGAAGGAGCTGAATCTGAAACATTAAAACAAGAACATAAGCTGAAAACCAAAAGTAGGAAAATGGTAACAAAAATCCCAAAAAGTAGCACACTGCTAGCTAAAAGCTTAAAGTAACAAAATAGCAACTAGAAGCTAAAATTAGCAAAAGACTAGCTTAAGGAAGAATGTAACAAAATATTTACTAAGAACAGTAAAATGTTAGCTATAATCTAAAAAGTTGCAAACTGCTAGCTAACAGTTTACAGTAACAAAATAGCAGCTAGAAGCTAAAAGTAGCAAAAGGCTAGCTAAAGGAGAAATGTAATAAATATTTACTAAGAACAGTAAAATATTAGCTAAAATCTAAAAAGTAGCAAAATGCTAGCTAACAGCTTACAGTAACAAAATAGCAGCTAGAAGCTAAAAGTAGCAAAAGGCTAGCTAAAGGAGGAATGTAATAAAATATTTACTAAGAACAGTTAAAGGTTAGCTAAAAGTTAACTGCTAGCTAAAAGCTTAAAGTAACAAAATAGCAACTAGAATCTAAAAGTAGCAAAAGACTAGCTTAAGGATGAATGTAACAAAATATTTACTAAAAACAGTAAAATGTTTGCTAAAAGTTAAAAGTAGCAAACTGCTAGCTAAAAGCTTAAAGTAACAAAATAACAACTAGAAGCTAAAAGTAGCAAAAGGCTAGTTAAAAGATGAATGTAATAAAATATTTACTAAGAACTGTTAAAGGTTAGCTAAAAGTTTAAAGTAGCAAAATAACAACTATAAGCTAAAAGTTGCAAAAGGCTAGCTAAATGATGAATGTGACAGAACACACTAAAACAGTAAAAGCTTAGCTCTAAAAGTAGCAAACTGCTAGCTAAATGTTTAAAGTAACAAAAAGCAGCTAGAAGCTAAAAGTAGCAAAAGCTAGCTAAAGGATGAATGTAATAAAATATTTACTAAGAACAGTTAAAGGTTAGCAAAAGCTTAAAGTAGCAAAATAACAACTTGAAGCTAAAAGTAGCAAAAGGCTAGCTAAAGGATGAATGTGACAGAACACACTAAAACAGTAAAAGGTTAGCCAAAATCTAAAAGTAGCAAACTGCTAGCTAAAAGCTTAAAGCAACAAAAAGCAGCTAGAAGCTAAAAGTATCAAAAGGCTAGCTAAAGGATGAATGTAACAAAATATTTACTAAAAACAGTAAAATGTTAGCTAAAAGTTAAAAGTAGCAAACTGCTAGCTAAAAGCTTAAAGTAACAAAATAGCAACTAGAATCTAAAAGTAGCAAAAGACTAGCTTAAGGATGAATGTAACAAAATATTTACTAAAAACAGTAAAACGTTAGCCAAAATCTAAAAGTAGCAAACTGCTAGCTAAAAGCTTAAAGTAACAAAAAGCAGCTAGAAGCTAAAAGTATCAAAAGGCTAGCTAAAGGATGAATGTAATAAAATATTTACTAAGAACAGTTAAAGGTTAGCTAAAAGCTTAAAGTAGAAAACTGCTAGCTAAAAGCTTAAAGTAACTAAATAACAGCTAGATGCTAAAAGTAGCAAAAGACTAGCTAAAGGATGAATGTGACACAAAACACACGAAAAACTGTAAAACGTTAGCTGAAAACAAAAAGAAACAAAGTGCCGAAGGGTGGCTAAAAATATTATATGGGAAGCTTAAAGTATCAAAAGTTGGCTATAAGCTAAAAGGAGTTAACAGCTCCACAAAAGCTAAAAGAAAAAAATCTTGTAAAAAACTGAAAGTAGTAAAAGGCTATCTAGAGGTTTAAAGTAGCATAATGCTAGTTAAAAGTTAAAAATACTCAAATGCAAACTTAAGCTAATTAAATATTTTGAAAAGTATAGACAAAAACAGAAGTTAGAGCACCCAATAAGTGGATGAGCTGAACGTTTTGAAACATGAATGGCTAAAATAGCACAAAGTATGCAAAGTACTTAAAATTAAAAAAATATATGGAAAAATAAAAAAACTGGAAACCAATAGTGTCGCCTCCTTTACAGGTAAATAAAAAGCAAACGCTTGTTTGTTCTGGATTTGTTGGGGCTAAACTTACGCGGGTTCAGCTAACACCAACATGTGGGTGTCACTGTGCCTTGCAGAGCTTTACAAAGCATGTGGGAGCTGCTCCTGCGGATGATCCTGGACGCGGTCACAGAAAACAGGGGCGTCCAGGTGGAGTTCTACAACCGTTTCCAGTACACAGTGGAGGTCAGAGGTTACTGCACCACACTACACCACTCCGTTACAGCTTTATTTGAGCTTCTTAAATATAAACCATTTTTATAAAAAGATGTGTCTACACAACGCACCGTGAAACTTCTACAGTTCATAGATTACATAGTAAAAATGTTTATTACTGGTATTTAACCCAGTAGTTATATGTCAGACATTCTTGAAGTACTTAGGTTTGTGCCAACATGCGTTCTCTTATGAATGACAAAGTGGAAACAAATTTATGTTCAACAAATTCAACAAGCTGGCAGGGAACATTGCACATTTGCATGAGAAGTCGAGTCCTTCCACATAAGTGGGTCAGAGCTCGGCTGCTGCTGAAGATTTCATGGTGTTTGTGTGAACAAATGTCTCGTCTCATATGTACCTTCAAGATTAAAGGAGTTATACAATGAGTCAAATCTTGAATGTTCTTTGTTTATTTCCCCATTTTTGTTAATTTAAATGCTTTAGACCTTGTTGCAGTTCTTTCACGTTAAGGGAGAGGGTCTGTCCTTGGAAGACATGAAGAGCGGAGACTATAAGGTATAGTTTTGTTGATAGGCCTGTCGCAATAAACAATACATCAATTAGTCGCATGATAATTGAAAATTATCGACCTCGTTTTCATTCATCGGCTTTATCGTTTCTTCGTATCTCTTTCTACTGAAGACACAGGATGACAAGAAGCTCAACTCGGGTACGCTTCACTGACCCCTCCCGTTCTCTTTATCCATTTTAAATCCAATTTAATCGTCTTCTTAACCTTCTTAAAGAGACGCGCTGTTCGCTCCCTTACTATCCATCCTTCGGTTCAAACATCTTATACTGCCATCCAGTGGTCGAAAAAGGTACTACATGCAAAACAAATAATTAAAGAAAAACATTTCTTCTTAAATTTGACAATAATGACTAATTATTGTCAAATTTCACACAATATTATCGTTTATCGCGATAATTTCGGAGACAATTAATCGCCCAGCAAAATTTGTTATCGTGACAGGCCTACTTGTAGATTGTCCACCAGATTTCAGTCTTTTTATCAACAGTAACATTCGTTCTTTTGATTGTTCAGGTCTTGGATGAAGAGCTCAAGCTGAATAAATGTTCCTCCTTTGATCTGATTGAACAGTACTATCTGGAGAAAATTTCTCACCAGGTTGGTTTCAACTCAGCAGACAGACAATTTCATTTAAGCCGACAGGGAGGTATTGATCGGAGAGCACATCACTCTGTCCTTTGCTCTTTTAACCCTCATTGAAAACCTACTTTGTTTCAAACACTTAAAAGCATCACGTAATGCTACGTGCACCGAGACACGTAGAATACTTTCTGCAGGCTGTGAGAGAGTTTTTATTTATTTATTTTAATTATGTGAGCATATTTCAGCTAAATATGTTGTGCTTCCACATGGTGTGATTGCAGAAAACACTCAAACACACGCCTTATGGTCGGATCAGTGTGAAATGTTACTACGACGCCCCGGAGCAGAGGCTGACGGTGGAGATTCTGCACGCGGCAGATATTATCGCGCTGGATGCCAATGGTAAAATTGCGCAAGCGTTGCATTAAAGACAGATTGCTGTTTTAAATAAATTAATTTCCAGTCATTTTCTCTGCTTTTCCTCAGGTTTGAGTGATCCTTTCGTCATCGTGGAGCTCTGCCCTCACCACCTCTTTCCATCAGCCAAGAGTCAGCGCACGCAGGTGAAACTGAAGACGCTGCACCCGGTGTTTGACGAACTCTTTCACTTGTGAGTAGGAGCTCTTCGTTTCTTTTTGCTGTTAACACTTGGATACCTCTGCCTCACGTGTCTGGTTTGGTTGACTTCCAGTCACGTCAGTCCTGAACAGTACAGACACAGGTACGCCTGCTTGACCTTCATTGTGATGGACTATGACTGGCTCTCTACCAACGACTTCGCCGGAGAAGCCGTCGCTCCTCTTAGTGACTTCTGTTGGCCGGGGAGACCGAACGTCTCGGCAACTGGAAAAAATGTCCAGCCTGCCATTCTGCACCTGTCTCGCAGCAAACCCAGCGGTACGTACGCACTAACTGGCTTCTTGTGGATACGTATGAAGCATTCACCCTTTTGTGATGCATTTATCTTCTGCACGTTCTTCAGCGCGATTCTCGTCTCGCAGTTTTCAAGCTGTTTGAACAATTCATATATCAAAACGTTCTGTTACGACTTTTGGTATTGGTGCAACTTTAGCTTTTTGAAATATTTAGCCTTTTCTGCCGCTTTTTTCTCAAAGACAATGATCTGAGCTCATTTTACATCCTTCAAATCTTTAGATGTGTTTACAACCTTTTACTGCTCCTTTCACATTTTGTGCTGGTTCAGCTTCTTTCAGCTTCCTTGTGCAAATTTAAAACATTTTTTCAGCTACCGGTACTTTCAGCTAATTTCAGCTGGGTTTTTTTCAGCTGTTTTGTGCTCATTTCAGATTCTTTCTGCTAACTACATCATTGTTGTGCTTCTAACTCCTTTCTGCTAATTTCAGCTCGTTATGCTCCTTTCAGTTTTTTCTGTAAGTTTCAGCTTTTCCTTCTATTTCAATTACTATTTTAGCTGTTTTTATGCTAATTTAATCATTTTCAGCTAATTCCATATTTGTTGCACTCATTTAAACTTTTTCATCCTAATTCAGCAAAAATGTGCTCTTTTCACTTCCTCCTTGTAAATTCAGCTTCTTTCTGCCCTTTTTAGCTACTTTTCAGCTGTTTTTTTTTTGCTAGTTTCAGCATTTGTCAGTTTCTACTTGTGTGTGCCCATTTCAGCTTCTTTCAGCCTAATTGGGCAAATGTGTTCTTTCTGCTTTCTTCTGCTAATTTATGCTTGTTCAACCTTTTCAGCTACCTTTTTGGCATTGTGTAAGCTAATTTCATCTCTTTGCCAATAAATGTAATTTTTTTGCAGTAATTTTTGCTACTCTAACTTATTTCTGCTAATTTCAGCTTGTTGTGCTTCTTTCGGATGTTTTCAGCTAGTTTTAGCTTTTTCTGCCTTTTCAGGTATTTACGGTAGCTGTTTTATGCTAATTTTAGCCTTTTCAGCTAACTTCAATTATTTTATTTTTTTTAGCTCATTTCAGCTCTTTTCACTTCCTTCTCTTAGGTTAGGCTTCTTTCTGCTTTTTCGGCTACATTTTAGATGTTTTTTTTTTACTAATTTTATACTTTTTTCAGCCGATTTCCTAATTTTTGTACTAATTCCTGCTTATTTAAACCGAATTCAGCAAAAATGTGTTCTTTCTGCTTTCTTCTGCTAATTTAGGCTTGTCCTTTCATTTCAGCTACATTTCAGTGTGTTTTTTTTAAGCTACTTTCATCTGTTTTTCATCAAATTCTTCTGCAATAAGCATTCACACTGCATTTTCACAGGAAATGCAGTTTCTCTACTTTCATACACATATTTTTTTCAATAAATCTTTTATAACCTAAAGTCCTAGCATTCTTTCGAAGAATGCATAAATAAATAAAGACCTTTCTTTAAAAAGGGCAGAATTATCTCCTTTTTTGGTCAAATATTGTTAAATCATTACACACAATCTCATGCAAGCACTTGCAAGATGTATTATCTTTCAGAGTATGTGTTGAAGATGACTCTCAGCTACTGCCACACCAAATCTTAGCTCAGTGTCTGTTAAATTTGCTGACTCATCCATTCATGTGTTTCTTGAGGTTGATTAGTTCTGGTCGCCATCTTGAATTGGGTTGGCACCAATTTTTTTATCAGTTGTAGAGATACAGCCAGTGATTATTTCCTGAAAGTTTCATGAAAATGTGTTCAGTGGATCTGGAGACATTTTGCTAAAACACACACACAAAGAGACATTGGAAAAAGCACGATTGTTCGTCTTCGCCTTTCGGCGGCGAGCAATAACAATAAATCCAAAGATATTATTTTCAGTTGTAAACGTTCTCCCATCTGTTTGCCCTCTCCTCCAGAGAAGCCCATCATGAGGATGCTGGACGCTCGCACCGGAGACAGGGAGGCTCAGGAGTTTGTCCGCAGGCTGAAGGAGATCGAGAAGTCGATGGAGGAGGAGTAAAAGCTGTCAGTATTTGCTGTGTTCATGTTTCCTGACCACGTCTTGCGACATGTGCTTTTGTACACGTACGATGCTTATATTTATTATTTTTCCCAATGTATTTTTTGTTGGGTTATGATACCAAAAGAAGAAGAAGAAAAAAAAAACGGTTGACAGTGACTCGTTTCACTGTTTTCTGAGAGGTGAACATCCTGTCACTGTGCAACTCTATTTTAGAATTAAATGGATAGTTGATCCTAAACGTTATTAGTCTATATTTTTTGTAATGAAGTAATTGTTATCTTTGTTGTATAATCTTTGATATGATAGATTTACATGAGAAATATTTTGTGGAAGTAGCTAACATATAGTTCTAAGTCTTAATCGATACCTCAGATGTGCTCATTGGTTGCAGGAGAGTTTATTTGACAGGTGTTGAGACTTTTTGCATTCTTCACACACACTGTGGGGATAAACTGCACGGTTACTTATTCATCATACGAACCTGCATTGATTTCCCAGTGGCTTAATGAGATAAATAAAAAAAAACGTGTTGAAGGGAATTCTACAGACAAAGTAGAACTTGGAGCAGTTTGAGATTTGGCGTTTTGAGGCCAGTCATGAGATCAGCAGCAGGGAAGCTCAAACCCCCCCCCCCCCCCCCCCCCGGTCATTTTAAAGTGAGCGTTCACCGAGACACGCCGTGTGTCATTCTGTGGCTCACACACAGAAACGACGTGAGCTATATAAGTTCCAGCAAATTTGATATGTATGTTCTGCTCAGACTTTAAGTTTATGTTAAATTTATACCAAGATACTGTAAAACATGCCTTTATAACAACAACGTCGAAAAATAACAATCACCCCACCACAAAACTAACAAAAACTCAAACTGGCTTGTATAAATATAATATTGAGTAATCTGTCAAACATCTTGCTAATCTTTGGTAAACCATGGGCGGGGGTGGTAAACACACACCTGCCAACAGTTGGTGGATTGATCCGTTCATTTCACCTGTGCAAAAGGCAAGGGCACCGCCGAAGGAGGGCCCGGGGGGCAACCCTAAAAAATGGTGCCCCATCTCACCGTCTTAAGACTCGTTCATTTTTTTAGTAACAGACATAACCAGGGGTCTGCAACCTGCGGCTCTGGAGCCACATGCGGCTCTTTGGTCCCTCTGCAGCGGCTCTTTCAAGCTTTGACCAAAACTAACAAACAGCTGAATTTTAATGGTTATACAAACAACAACAAAAATGTACTACCGGCAGCTGTTTTCATTACTTTTGCAAATACTCACTTTTAACTTTTTGCTTTATTTCTATACTTAATTATTTTTTCCACAATAAAAAAAATATATATATATACATATGTCTGCTGTTCCTATTTTTATTTTTAAACTATTTCCCCACCTCTTTACAAGAATCTGGTCTTTTTGTTTGTCTTAAATTGTCAAAAATATCAATAAATGGTGAAAATCATTAGATATTTTTAGCTTTATAATGTCACTCCTACTGGCCACAAAAGTCTCCTCCAACAAACCTAAAGTGGACCACGAGCCACCAGTTGATAATCGCAGTTGTAACAAGTTGTTGCGGCTCTGGACACATTTTATTTAGTGAATGAAGGTGTATTTTGATCATAAAGGTTGCAGACCCCTGGGTTAGATCATTTCGGTTGTTATCAAACCTCACCGCACACATAACTCCCCATGTTGTCGCCACTCGAGAGCGGCGCAGAGTTCAGAGGTCACGTCTGACTGTGGCCAGTTTTAGACAATAAGAAACATGGCGACGGTGATGGAGGAGATCAGGATATTGCACGTCGTCAAGAAGAGACAGAGAAAAGCAGGCAGTGCAGTAGACAGCATCCATTCATTCATTCAACCTTCATTTCTACCGGCTGGTCTCATGGAGCCACGAGGACTCATTTACAAGAGAGACCTGTTCCAGACCGAACATATAAAGTACAAACAATAACAATAAACAATGACAATAAACTACAGTAAAAATCCAGTTCAAATAAGAGACAAAACAATAAATCAGGGTGCCATAAAACAGGATAAAATACTAAAAACAAGAACGTTTCTGCCTTAATTTTTCCATTGACATCATCAAATGTTTGAAACCTCTCAAATAAATCAAGGTGGACAACTTCAGTTCCTGTTGCAAGGTGTTCCAGGTTGCAGGAGCTGAGTAGGAGAAGGCCTTATTGCCAAGTTCAGTCCACAATGAGGGAACGCTGCAGGTAATGATGTCCTGAGAGTGCATGCTGTAACTGCACTGATGGCATGACATGTGGGAGGAGATATAAGAAGGTAGGAGGGATTTATAGATGAAAATGAACCAGTGTGAGAACCTACGTGTAGATAATGATGACCAACTGACCAAGGAGTACAGAGTGCAGTGATGGGTACGGTAGTTGCAACCAGTTATGAATCTTATGGTAGACAGCATCCAACATCTGCAAGCAGCTGGCAGGGGCATTCATGTAAATAATGTCACCATGGTCAATGGCCGGTAGGAAGGTAGCAGCTACAAGGCGTTTTCTGGCATTCAGAGTTAAGCAAGATCTATTTATGAAAAAGAAACTCAGTTTTAATTTCAGTTTCAGGTTTTCGACATGTGGTTTAAAAGAGAGATGTGCATCGACCTAAATTCCCAAGTGGTCTGCGCAGCCATTAAATACATTGCAGCATGTTGATGGAAAGTTCTTCTCCCTGATTATTACACATTAACCTCTTGTCAACAAGCTCCAGCATTTTAGTTGTGTTCTTCTTTGTTCCTTTCTCTGGCTGCATGTTAACCTTGCAGCATTTGGGTACTCATCCTCAAGCTCTTTGGCAACGTACTGAAATATGCACAAAATGAGCACAAAGGACGCACAGAAGGCTCCGTCTCTATATGTTTCAATATTTATTGTTGAGCATAAATGGGTCTTTAGTTGTTACTTTTTCTGTGGAACCTCTTAATAACAAAATGTGTGGCTCAGTCAGTGGCTTTGTGTCCAGATGCTGGAGCTTCAGAAATCATTTGAAGAGACACCAGGCAAAAGCTTCAGCATCCCAACTTTAATTTAAAACAGGCTCATCACCGGCCTCCACCAACGATTAAATTATAAAATCATATCCAGCTGTGAAACTTTATTTCTCAAGGTAAAAGAGAAAGGAAAGAAGAATGACCTGTGTGGTGGTATAATTAGACTTGCGGGGCAAGGCTAGTCATTACTGCAGCTCTCACTGGCCTGACAGAAATGATTCAACTTGATCTTGCGCCGGTCCCTCCCAAAGCTGTGAGTCACTGAAAGACCAAGATTTCAGTGTTTTTACATAAAAGATGAGGGTCACGCTAACCTGCAATGCAACCACTTCAACCTTGTGACGACTGTTGTTGTTTTGTTTCATGCCATTTAAAAAGCACACGTTACTTGGATTATTTAACAGGATTACTGAACTTGTCCAAAGCACAAATTATTCACATAAAGATTTTAATTTAAAAAAATCATTGAACAAGTTCTCAGCTTCTTTTTGCAGAGAAAAACAACTTTTTACAAAAAAGCACAGGTTTCAACCGTGAATTTTGGAGCTTCGACAAAACGGAGTTTTTTTTCCCCGTTGTTGGCCTGTTAGCTTAGCTCGTAGCTTATCTAGTAGCTTAGCTCGTAGCTTAGCTAGTAGCTTAGCTCGTAGCTTAGCTAGTAGCTTAGCTCGTAGCTTAGCTTCTCAGCTTAGCTGCTTTTAACAATCCAAACACACGATTTTGGACGCTTAAAACAGATTTAAAAGCGAAAGGGAGGGGAAGAGCACCGAGGTTGAGCCTTTTGTCATCCAGTGTCTTCAGTAGAAAGAGAGACACGAAGAAACGATAAAGCCGGTAAAAGAAAATGACGTTGATAATTTTCATTCATCATGCGATTAATTGATTTATCGTTTATCGCAACAGGCCTAACCATAGGTTTGTATTTTTGTTTAATATTGTTCATTTTGAGAAGATTGTTTTTCCTAAACATTATATAAAAAAGGATTACCAACTGATTTGCAGAAAGTCTGCATCAACCTCTTGAGCCTGCTGGCCAAAATGATACCATTCTTAAACTGCAGTTGTGGGCCGCACAAAATCACTCCAAGGGGCCGCAAATGGCCCCCGGGCCACACTTTGGACACCTGTGGTCTAGCTCTTTGGCAGCAACATATAAAGAACGAAGGAGAAATGTCAACCTTTTGCACATTTATGGGGCCGAGATGGTGTAGAGGCAGGGCAGCCGGCTTGGGACCCGAAAGTCCCAGGTTCGATCCCCAGTCACTGCACATCACGTGGCGTCTCTGGGCAGCACGTCTCATCCCCAAAATGTCCCCCGGGCGCTTTCAATAGCTGCCCACTGCACCACCTGGTGGTGGATGGGTTAAATGCAGAGACTAATTTCGCCATTGTATGGAAACATGCAGTGCTGACATTGTGATGACATTATTATTATTATTATTATTTCAGTTTGCTAAATCATTGGGTAGATCATATCTGTCTCAGATATAAAATAATATAATTTTAAAGAAAAAAAGTGAATTTATAAAATAAGTCAAATGAGAGTAGTGGGACCAGTTACACCTACAAAAACAAATGTTCAGCTTGATTATCCTCAAAAACTGAAACAAAATCCTTATAACTGAGCAGAAAGTATAAAACTGACTATGGAAAAGCAGAATAGTTTACAATCTTTTCTTTTCGACAAAGAGTTGAGTTGAAGTGACTTACCATACCATACCATACCAATTTATTTATATAGCACTTAAAACAGCAACAAGGCCAACCAAAGTGCTGTACAAAAGAACACAAACATGCACAGCAGACAGGAAAACATAAAATAGAAATACAGATACAAATAGCAGCAGAAGCTAACTAAAATGGCCAACAGAGACTTGTCCTGAAAAGTGGCTCGTATTGCTGAGCATATAGTGAGGAATGATTTAAGTAGAAAAAATAGAGTTGTCATAAAAAATAAGTGTAGCAGGCAAAAGAACTTAGGACCAAACCGTCACACCGACAGCATTTTGATAGTGATGTAACTTTACTGTAGCTGCTTGTGTTGTTATCCTGTGACTCTGTGAGGACAAAGCACGCCAAAACCATTTCTATGCCTAAACGATGTGCTGCA